ATAACTCAGTATTTCAACAGCAGCACTCAGCAAATACAGAAATATTTAGCTGAAAACCAGAAAAGTTGGGCAGGGCTGCCCATGCTTCCAAAGCCCTTCTTACTCTTAAACTGAGCTGCACGGAGATTGAAGTTTTTTGCAGGCAGCAGCTCACTGCCATTGGCTCTGAGTACGTAAGCACCATCTCTCCCCCTTCAGCACAGACACAGCAACTGAAGATCTGCTCCCACGTATTTCGTTCTTTTAAATCCTCTCTCTGGTGGTCATACATGCCTTGCCAGATGCCAGCTCCGGTGGGATCCAATGGCGATGTCTCACCAATGGCTCCAAGCCCAAGGCACTACAATAACCCCAACCCCAGCCTGGATCCCATGGTAAAAGGCACTCTGTCAGGGCAGGAAGTAAGCTAGCCATGTCTGAGCCCTACTGCGTGAGTAGGGGATTGCAGAGGTCTTCTGACCGTGTTCTTTGTCTGTATGTCAGGATAGATTTTCCCCAACATATGGGCAACAAATAAACATCCAGAGAATACAAAGTAAGAGCCTACATTCCGTGACATCGATGGGAAGCTCTGTGAGAAGGGCACTATTTGGGGGTGGGGAGAGCTGCCATCAGCTCCCCCATTCACCTGAGATTCTTACAGTCTAACTAAAGGAGTTCACCCATTGGCAACTGCAGGAAATACAAGAGCAGCTAGAAAACAAGCAAGTGACTTCATATTTGCTCCTCGGTTAACTACTTCCTTCTTGAAAAAGGAAGAAATAGCTTTTCCAGCCTAAACCATTTATATACACTTATACCACAACTCTGAAATTCCGTAAATTTATTTGAAATTACATAATTTATCCTTGTCAAGAGCTGCCTATTGAATTCAAAGCCCTCTCAAACACGCTTTCGGCTTCGTTTCTGAGATGAAAGTGTTATGACAACGTACAGCACAAGACTCCGCCGTTTAATCATTCCGAGTGCTTATGATCAGAAAAGTAAGGCAAGTTGTAAGGTCTGCATTAATATAAACACCCCGATGACCTCTCGTACCCCATGGCACAGTGAAAACTCAATTTCACATTAACAAACCCTAAAATCAAACCGTTAGAAACTGAAAAGACACCAGGTATTACAATTTATATAAATTACAGCAGAGATCAAATGGCCTGTAGAAGCAATCGTACAGCGATAAAACCTAAGTGGATGGTATTTAAACAGATATTTGATTTATTTTCTATCTGTGGAATTTTCCATCCAGCCAGAATTCACAAGACAGTTTGGAAATCAAGAATAAAGAAATCCCCACCCCACACAAACTACTGTTTGAAGCACTGTGTCAGACACGCTTATTACTGGGACTAACGAAAGAAATGCTTCCCTCTGGTACGCTCTGGACACAGCCTTAGAAGCCAAAGCAAAAACTCTAATATTGACAGAAGAGGAAAAAGCAGATGTGCTGCTTCCTCAGTGTGGGGTAGGAAATAACGCCCTCCATTTTCTTAGGGTTAAGACTCCCAAACTGGATTTTTGTAACCTCACAGAGCTGGCTGCAGTCTCTACCACTGCTGCTAAGCTTGAGGGTGCCTCTCAAGCAATGCGAAGCGATGTACAAACTGTAAGGGCTGCACAACAGCCAGCCTTATCTTTCATTAACGATAGCAACGCTGCTAGTTAATATCAATTGCTGGATCTGCTTTCCACTGGAAAGCTGCTTCCTACTCAAGTTCAGCACTGTCCATCAAGATGTACCAAATACAAGAACCCAACCAACCCGCAGCCTTCTTCCCGACCCGATCCAGGGGAACCTCTCAGCCAATAGTGGTGGTGGCAGTAATCGTTCTGAATCTATCCGTAACACTGAAGTGCTCCTTCACTGACTGCAAACACCAATTTCTTTCGCTGAGGATTATAAGCTGGTGTTCACGGTCTCTCCGCTGCCATTAGGGTGATACACAGTTTAAACTACATCAGGATCTGACATGTAGATCAATTCTGGGTCCATAAAGAATCCACACAAGGGGTTCCTGGACAGGGATTTACTGCCCCCAGTTTTTATTCTCGCTTGCTGCTAAAATTACTCCTGTCAAGTACTTACAAGAGTAAGAAAAAATGTAAAAAGCATTAATTTTTCATGTACTTCTGGAGCAGCCTCTTTACATTTCCAAGTTTTAAGACAAATATGTTAGTGAATTTAAAATCACACGGAGCAGCGGGCGGTATCTAGCTAAATTGAGAGCCATTGGCGTGGGCCGCTCACTATCTGGCAGACAGCAATTTGAAACACTGAACTAAGCTGTCTGGATTTTCTCTGAGGGCAGTCACAGGCTTCATGTTACCAGTGCCAAATTATATTAGACATTTAATTTTAAACCTCAGGTACTTAAATGTAAAACCTTACAACAGTAATAGTCATAAAGCAGTGGGGCATTCCATTTCAGAGAATGGATTTTTCTATTTTTCCCCTTTAATTTATCCAGCACCTCCTGTTTTGTGGCTCTGCCCACTACAAAGTAATTTATCTAATTAGGAGATGTTCACAGCTGCTTGAAAGACAGAAGCCCCAGGAAACCAAAGGTCTGCTTCGGAAGACTTTGAAAAGTTCTCCAGAGCCACACAAAGTATTAATTTAATGTGAAAAAAAGGTGCAGAGAAAAATTGAATCCCAATATGTTATTTTGTCTACAATAAAACCGTTTGACAATAAGCAGACATATTCTCCAGTACATTGGCATTTGAATTCCAAAAGATGCTTAGCTTCTCTCCATACCTGCTGCTTTCACAGTATTACCTTTTTATGACTAAAATTCAAAATCTTTTAATGGAGAAAAAAACCCCTGAAATTAAAAAGGGTTTTTCATGCGTCAACTTGCTGGCATAAAGGACACATCTATGAGCTTCCCGAAAGACGATACGCTGATGGAAAGGAATGTTCTTGATGCTTTGCAGCCGTTTTATCACAATACCTCTGTTTACCCTGACATTCCGTTGGCTAAAAATGGCCACTATCCATTCTCCTCACATATTAAAGCCATTTCTTATTGTTTCAGAAAAGCAGAACCTCTGCGAGAAATTAAGTCAGGCTGATCCAGAACCACCCACCAGTCAACTTCAGCTCTTTAATAAATATTTCATAGATAATTCTAGCTGTCATCTCTTTTGATCCAGAAGTAATCACATATGAATGTCAAGTCAAAAAAAGGAGTACAGAGGTTGTGCAGGAGGAAAGGTTCCCTTCCCCAATAATTTAGAACTAGCTGCAGTGCAGAACCAGGAGCCACCGCAACTCCAGTGCAGAAGCAGCACCTCAAGGTCAAGGGGAAGCAGAAGGAAGTTAGGCTCCGTTTCTAGTTTTCAGCACATAAATTACATGCCACTTTTAGGGACTCATTGAGTTCTGCATTTGAAGATGTTGTTCCATTGCAGCCTTGGTTTTTTCATCTGTTAAAGGCACGGCTCAGCCGTCTGCAGGTCTGGCAGGTGCAGGGACCAGGCACTGGCTATGCCTTGACTTTCACCTGCCTTCATTCCAGCGAGAACACGCAATGTTCTCCAACTTCCCTTTGAAGAGCTACAGTGTAAAAGAAGGGCACTGGAAAGCTGAAGCTCCGGTATAAGCTTTTAAAAGCAAAGTAGAATCAGGGTGGATGGAAATAACAGAGCAGCTCAGAAGAGAGAAGAGCATGCAGCCTTAACTGCGAAACTAGTTTGGTCCAAAGGAACTGCTACATTAGCAATGCAAGGGGTGAATGAAAATACTCTCCTTGCTGGAAGGAAAACAAGCAGGAGGAGGAGAATGCTGGCTGTCCCAAGAGACTAACCAGGTCCCAAAGAAGCAAGTAAGCTGGGCTGACACTGAAGAGAACAGTGCTGAAGAACTTCACCGTTCTGCCTGCTTCAGAAAATTCTTGATCCAAACCTGCATCATTTTGATGCAAATGTCACACTGCTGAAGGTGCTGCCTGCAAGTTCAGAGCTGCAGAAATGGATGTGCTTAAGCAACCATAAACTTGAGCATGAATCAGCCAGTGCTGAGGTGACTGATTTGAACTCTCCTTTTCCGTAAGGCAGCATTGAAAATCTATCCACAGCTGCCTGAAAACTCCAGACTCAGACCTTAAACAGTGAACAGACACACGTGGGACACACAAAATAGTCTTTATGCTCCTGCCATTCTCCCTGTTTTTTGAAACAGCCATCAGAAACAGTCCTCCCTTTCTCCTCTCTTACGCACATACTTATTCATGCTATCCACAATCCTATTTTACTTCTGTGCAGAGCTCTCTTTCACACATATCTCCCTTTCACTTGCTGCCCTCCGTTTCAGGAGCTTCCCATGGCTTCCCCAGTCAGCTGGCACAACCTGCATGCCCCAGACCCATGTTTCCCCAGTACCAACCTGACCTGCAGCTCACTATGACACAGCCCTCCACTCTTATCCCCCATGAGTGCCATGGCTGCCCCAATGCGCCATAATCCTCCCCTGTGCAATGTTTTCCTGCTATCTTGCCCACCCTTTAAAAGCAACAAGCTGTTTTGCTGTTACTCTCAATACAAAACACCATCTGGAATAGCCTTCGCTCCTTTCAACACTGTTAAATAGTCTAAATACTAGAAGAGAAAAAAAAACAGGTATGCCAGCAGCGTGCATCCTTCAAAGCAAGGCCACAATGAAGAAAGGGCACGCCACTGAAAAGGTCTGCAGGGCAATTTACTGCTAATACCAACCACACAGAATAAGAAAATAAGAATACAAAGCGAACAACCTACATTATGAACCTGACATTCAAATTAAGCAGTAGTGTCGTACATCAGCTCTTCCCACTGAGAAAACATTGTATTAATCTGTTCTTTCATACGATGCCTCCTTTTTCCCTCGGATGCTGGAAGTTTGGCTTCCAACAGAATATCTGGGTGAATAACATCCGGTCGTATTTTCACTTTAACCACAGAACACCAAATTCCCTTTTCACCCCAATGCAGGTCACCCCCCCCCCCAGCTCCAAGTTTCTTACCACTGCTAATGCCAGAGTTTGCAATGACTGTTGCCTCACTCCACTGATCTGCACTGGAGACCGAGTAAGAGCGCTGATGCATACCGTCCGGACGGCTGTTGAAGGAGACTAGACTGATCCCACTTGCCATCTGAGACACAGATGTGCTAGTAGTCACGTTCCCTAGACATAAATGGAAAACAAATTGTGTCAATAGAGAAGATAAAACTGATTGACATGAAGGTGGATGGCATGAAGATCTTAACAGAGCAGAAAAAGAAAGTATTTGACCAACAGAAAAAGCAACGCAGCCCTCTCTGAAACCCTAAAGGCTACAGATTTCAGCAGCCCACGCCAACCTCATTAGGGGCTTCCAACAAAGCAGCCTAAATTTGCCATATTTCAGCTCATCCTGTTCATTCGCCTCCTGGAAAGCTTGAGCCTCAACAACCCAGCTACCAGGCACGTTTTGTACAGGTTCTGCACTGTTACAGCTATGACACAAAAGACAAACTGAGCATGAAAAAAATATATATACATCCTTGAAGTCCACTGCTGACACGAGCAACCAAGATGAGACAGCCAACCCGAGGTGCTTAAAATAATCTAAGTCCAAACAAAACTTAAAATAATTACGTCCACAACTCGAGATGGGCCAAAAGAGTCTGCTTTGGAGTTTCTGTTTCTGACCATATTTTGCTCCAATCCTGGCACAGGATTTGCACATGATACAAACATATTTTATAATGCTAGTTTCATTCTTCGTGGCAGGCTCTTCCTAAGGGCAGCAGGCACTGCTGACTTTCTGACTGCTCTTGAAAGGCAACCCAGAGGTCTTCCAAGGCCTTAAGAACACTCTTTAAAAGCATATGCAAAGAAACAGACGTAATTTTGTAAGATACGATAACACTTTGGATTTCCATTGTACCTTCTAGTGATGAGTTCAGAAAAATTAATGAATTAATTTTCAATGCTCCTGTGAGGTTGTTAATTATCTGCTATCATTTCCCCCATTTTTCAGAGGTTAAATGACCCTGGGCCACAAAGGAAGATAGTGGCAGACATGAAAATAAAACCCAGATCTCCTGACTCCCAGTTCTATCATTATGTCTTTTCCCAGAGCAGCCTTTGGGAAGACAGCGGAGCTCAGTGAACTACTTTGTGTTTATTAGAGTTGGCATAATTGTCCCTTTTTCTCCCTTCTTTTCCCAAGACTGAATCTCATCTTTAGTCCTTAACACGGATCCATCTCGCACTGCATCTGTCTGCCTGGTGTTGAACATACTCAGCCTCATGAACTTCTGTTTGACAATCTCTGCTTCGTAGATGTGAAACAGACAGAGAAACTAAGTGCATTTGCTCAATTACACAAAGTCTAAGGTACGTTTTACAGCTGTGCTGGACAGTCCCAAGGCAGGGCTGTAGCCACTGGCATCTTTCCTCTCTAATCACTTTCCCTGGGCAACTCTTTTTGTCCATGAGAAGTCCATGATCAGAGTATCACCTTCCAAGCAGTTAAAAAAATCCCTGTCTTCAACCACCACTCCTCTTCATGATGTTCTATGCTGGACCCATCAGCTGAAAGCCATTTGCTTTCCATTTTTACCAGCTGCTGTTTTAGCACTTTCTAAAGACGTTACCCAAAAAAGAAGTTTAAGAAGTTTAGCAAGGAAATCAGGCCCACAGAAGCCAAGGAAGTAATTGAGGCTTGAATTTGTGGCCTAGCATTCTGAAGTTGCAATATGCTACACGAAAACACAAGCTAACATTTCGTATTTTCAGTTCTCTTCTAAGACAAACCTCCCACCGAACGAATTTCAGTGGTGCTGCTAATACTCAGCAACAGAATTTCCCTCTACTTCTCACAGCCCAGAAAACCCATGAACATGAATACGTTATTTTGATGAAGAGAGTGGCTGATGTGAATGACAGATCCTGAGCCCAAGACTTTGGGACTTAGGCCAACACAAACACCACGTGGTTCGGCACAAAGTGCTAAGGTTTTTCTGGAAACAAGAAAAGACCCAGTGAAGAACTGCCAAGATGGTCCAAGTTCTACTAACAGAAGGTTTCTGAGTGCTGGCTCAGTCTGGTGAGCAGCAGGACAGTGGCTGACTCACCCAGCTGTGGTCATAGCCCTGCTCCAAGCACAAGGATGGCAGATGTACCTCCAGAGCTCCCTTTAACCAGCACTTCTAGAACGCTGCCGATGACTGTGTTTTCTTTTTTCTTCCATCTCAAAGTAAAATCACACTGAGCTTTCTGAGCTGAGAAGCTACATCGCATTCCCATTCCATTCAAAATATTTTCAACAATTTACACCTTGATGCATTAAAGCAGAAAAATGGCTTCTTTTCCTTACCCGGATGGCTTATGGGCTTGTGATGGAAACTAAAGAGATCCCTACAGGTCCTTTATTTCTTTTTAAATGAGCTTACAGCAAAGTTACGGACCCTTTTCTAGTCTCGCTTCCAAATTTGTATATTAGCCTTTAAGCTTGCAATTAACTCAGCTGACTGAATTTATCAAATCAAACTCACAGGTGACAATTACATGACAGATCAATCTAAACTCTTCGCTTTGCTTTATTTCTGCTGCAGCACCTTGAGAATATCACCAGTGAATGGCTTTAGAAGCAACTTACTTTTCACAAACAATTAGGTTTCCTATTGGGAAATACACACAAGCCTCCTCCCCCCATCATGCTCCTGACAAATGGCATCCACCCTGCCTGACACAAGAGTAAAGCCACAAACACGCACTTCCAGCCTGTAGCTATCTTTCACTCTGTGCTGTGTAAAAACGGGAAGCTACAGCTGATGAATTCCTGCAGGAGACTCTTTGTAACAAGGATCACGAAGGAGAAAGCCTGGTATGTGAAAGCTGAGACGTAGCACTTCCCAGCTATCATGGGAAAACGGAAAACAATCACAGGACATCTCTGCCTGACGTGTCCCCATTACCCTGTGCTGGGTGGCTGAATTGCTAAGACCAATGTTTGCATGTTGACAGCTTTTGTCCAGTTCACAATTATTATTATTATTTTTTAATTTTCTAACAGAGGTGTCTGGTCACTTTCCAACCAGGATAGAAACCCCAAATTTTAATAGGACACCAGGCATAACATCTAGACTTCAACATCATCATGTCAGCACCAAAGGCTTTGCTGTCAGCTTAATGCTGTCTTCTGAAGCTCTGCAGCCCAGGTTATGACATTCATCTGTTGAGGAAGCGTAAAACAAATAGGAATCCTTCTTCCAATTCATATTTGTGAAAGCTCTGGGCTGTTAGCAACAAACAGCTGCCAAGTCCCATTTTTTATACTTTACTGATCCACAATGCAACCCAACTCAGCTCTTTCTGCTGCCAGTTTGATAACTCTGCTACCAGTTTGCCCCTTTGTGATACCATCAACTCAAGGTTACATTCCACTTTTTTTCAGATGCTGTATGATTTTCTCAGTGCATCAGAGCATGCAAGTCAGGGGGAAGTTTTTTACTATGAGAGTGGTGGAACAGCTGCCCAGAGAGGCTGTGATGCCCCATCCATCCCTGGAGGTGTTCAAGGCCAGGTTGGATGGGGCCCTGGGCAGCCTGGGCTGGCACTGAATGTGGAGGTTGGTGGTCCTGCATGTGGCCTGTATGTGGCTTCATGATCCATGAGGTCCCTCCCAACCCAAGCCATTCTATGATTCTATGATCTACAGGGAGACATCAGAAGGGCTGACCTACAGAACGCACAGTACGACCTGCACTGGTGTAGTAGGAATGGACACGCTCCACCACAAAGCTGGTAGATACAGCTTTATTTAAAAACCTCAATCTCTGTATCCACTGCTGTCTTTTCCCCGCTTCTCAATCTAATTGCAGCAAACTCAAGACATGCATTGCACTGCAACAGCACGCAGCAGTGTTGCCACAGTAAAATTGGAAGCCACCTGCTGCTCTTGCACACTTGCTGCTTCTACCAAACAGTTCTATGTTTTTTCCAGTCATAGAATGAACCGTAGAATGGCCTGGGTTGAAAAGGAGCACAATGCTCATCTGGTTCCAACCCCCTGCTATGTGCAGGGTCACCAACCAGCAGCCCAGGCTGCCCAGAGCCACATCCAGCCTGGCCTTGAATGCCTGCAGGGATGGGGCATCCACAGCCTCCTTGGGCAACCTGTTCCAGTGCCTCACCAGCCTCTGTGTGACCTCCTCACCTCCGCAGTGCAACAGTACTTCATTTTTGCTCAAAGATGAAACCTCAGCAGCAGAAATCATCTCAGTCTTTTAGCAGACAAGCCAGACAGATAAAAATAGCAAGCCAACAACACTTACTGAAAAGCAAACCTTCTACGTTGAGGGAGGTGTACAAAGCCTTCCTATTAAGCAGTAATACAAGTAACTATGCATCCTGCATCTGCTGTCTGCCCCAGCTGTACCTGTATACACACACATCTCCCAGCCTATTAATAACTATCCGTATGTAGATAGAGAGATATAAATACATAAGTCAACATTACCGTGAAATCCACGGCCAGCTACTTGGCCCACTCTGGAGTTCTGAAAGAGTGCCTCTTCAAATACATCATATATGCATCAGCTGGTCGCTTAAGTTGATTAGCAGGGGGCAGTTAAATTACTATGCTAATCCATGTATTCTCAGCACTGTTTCCTTGATATGGATATGTGTATATGCTTACTGGGAGGCCTTGATTAGTTCAAGCTTCAATGTGTCAAAGGCTCCAGATTCTTTCCAAAGAATAATTTTAGCTGTACTCACATCCCTAAAGTGTAGGAGCTGATTTGAAAAGGTACTTACCTCTACCATATGCTATTTTTCTTTAAACAATTTGCATTTCAAAGTGAATATGGCATTTATATTTGAATGAATATCAGTATGTTGCCAGAACTGGTCTCAAATGAGCAAAAAAAAAAAAAGATGCTGGTCTCCTATTGAACAAAAATGTTTTCATCTACCAAAGGAGCATCAAAGGAAGAGTTCCTCTTTCTAGCTCTAGACAGCTTTATTAAAACTATATTTTCTGATATTATAAAATACCCTGTTATGATCATGCTCACAAAAACGTTCAAACAATTAAGCTCTATTAAAACTATCCAAATTAAGATCCATGGTAATTTCCAGTTTTGGGCAATAGAAGAGCCTTTGAAGAAAGTCAGGGTGTTCATCCAAAAAAA